CTGCAGCAGCCAAAAGGTTTCTCCACACACTACTAACTAAAAGTGAAAAGCTAGCTAACAGACACAGTACCCTGATGTTTCACAGCTGCATGCAAAGCTGCCCAGAGACACCTGCTTATTTTTACAGCAATTCTTTTTACTCTTTATCATTCCATCCCTTAAGGTTGGGTTATAAAATGAGGCAAAATAAACTAGATCATTTTACGAAACGACAGCATGTTTCTACGTCCCACCTTTACTGGAAGACACAAATTACCATTACACAATGTTGTTCAGTTGCTATAGCAGGAAGCAGGAATTAAACAAATCGATCTTGCACATTATGAAGTCTTTGCAAAGCATGGCTTTCAGAATGTTCTCTGGTTGTGGTTACCTCAACTTCCAGGCACAACTTGAGTATCCAGTGCCAAATGACCCCGTACACTGGATAATCAGAATTCCTGCCCCAATTTCTGAAGATATTTTAGACACGTAAAATTATAGACAGGCTACTAATAGTGCTTTTCAGTACCTATGTAGTCGTTTAATTCTTGTTGAGTCCAGTGGGAACTAGGGAAGGAAGGGCAACAGCCCCAAAAGTTGAAGGTGCGTAGGTCTGCTTACCAGGCTCAGCGTATCTGCTGATGGGGAATACTGAGTCTCTAAGCGGAGGTTAGGCTGCCAAGTAATCTTACACTGAAAGCATACCTCATGCATCCTCTGTGTCCAAAAGCTGACTCTACACTGACGCTGTACCTCCTGATAACACTGACGAAGCTCAGTACAATGCAGCATCTGCCCTCCCACCACCACGTCTCACCACAGGACCATAGGCGCTGGGCAGTGCGAGTATTCACCAGGGAGGTAGGGTACAAAAACTCAAATCCTCCAGCTCTAGGACAAAAACGAATTGGTCCAGTGTTATATCCCACATAAAATTCTAGCTAGCAACAAAACAGAAAGCAGTCTCACTTCTCTGGATATGCTTTTTAAGAAAGTGATGACTTCAGAACCCAGCCACAGAAAAAGAGCTGTGATTCATAGCTGGAGATATGGACCTAAACTGGGAGGCCTCCATGTGTCCCCACTCCAAGGACAGGAGCATCTTCAGGCAGACATGCCAGGATGGGTCCCTGAAGTGTGTGTGGGGATGGGAGGCAGTAGATAGCAGGAGAGAGGGATGTGCTGTGATGCAAACCGGCAGTTCAGCTGAGGAGTATCTGCAGAGGGCCAGGCTGACTGTCACATTTTTCTCAAAACTCCTTGGAGGCCACGGCTGGCAACTGCCTGTCCATCACACTCAGTTTTGCGGACAACAGTCGCAGGCGCTTGGGGCATTGTCATACCATCACCTTAGTTCATCGAAACTGGCATTGCCAGTGAGAGGTTTGGGTCATGCTTCATCTTTCCCACTTGTGCCTGTCTCGCTCTCCTCTGACCCGAGACGGAGCTGAATGAGGTGCCTGCCTGACCTGGCTGAAAATACAATCTGTTTTCAGTGTGATTTACTTCTGGAGAGCTGCACAAAGCCTGGGGAAAGGAGGAAAGAGCAAACACGAGGTGAGGAGTGGGGGCGACCACCCTTTTGCACTGATCATGCAGCCGCAGTTTTGGTCTTCCAACACTCGGTAGGGGACTGTAATACAGACACAGTTCAATGCTAGGGCTGATGCTGAAGTGGTCAGTCATACAAATTAGTTGTTGCAGCATGCTGAGTGGCAATGCCTGCACACTCTGGGCTGTGAACAATTTATGTTCCAACGTTTCTACTCTGTTCTCAGGTAACTAGCATGTTTATAAACCTTGCTTGGAGTCCTGAGACCTCTCACAAGCCAATCAAAGATTTATTAGCCACCAAAAATTTATAGCACATTTGCTGATTCTGACCTTTCTACGCCAGTAACAGAACACCTCTGAAACTGAGATAGTAACGGCACATGAAATTCCTCAATTGTAAGAAAAATAGAAGGCTTTGGAAAGTGCAAGAATTGATAGACTTTTATTCATTCTTCTGTTATCTCCTAACAACTCCAGTGTAGTGTTAGCATTTTCCATACGAACATCTAGCTCTGAAATCCTTGGCTTGTCACTAACTTAACTGAGACAATGCAGTCACTGGGTGTATCTACCAGTGTTTTCCTTTTGCTTAAACTCAAACTAGACTGCATGTGCAGAATGTTTACACATTTCAAAACTAAGGGGTTTACTGAATTTCTTTTTTTATCCTCTCATGGTACTCTTGCTTTAGGACATTTCTAGTGAGGAAGAGGCAGATACGATTCAGTAAACTGAGCTTCTGTATGAATATAGGAAGAGAAAGATGTGCCTAATGGGCAAAAGGGAAAGATATAGCTCTTGCATTTACTTGTTCCTAGACGAAAAGAATTGGCAGCATGTAAAAACGCTAGAGGGAAAGGTTGCTGTCCAGAGGGACCTTGACAGGCTGGAGAGGTGGGCCTGTAAGAATCTTATGAAGTTCAACAAGGCCAAGTGCAAGGTCCTGCACGTGGGTCGGGGCAATCCCAAGCACAAGTACAGACTGGGTGGAGAATGGATTTAGAGCAGCCCTGAGGAAAAGGGCTTGGGAGTGCTGGTGGATGAGAAGCTCAACATGAGCCAGCACCGTGCGCTGGCAGCCCAGAACGCCAACCATGTCCTGGGCTGCACCCAAAGAAGCGCGGCCAGCAGGTCGAGGGAGATGATTCTGCCTCTCTGCTCTGCTCTCATGAGACCCCACCTGGAATACTGCATTCAGCTCTGGAGACCCCAACACAAGAAGGACATGGAGCTGCTGGGGCAAACCCGGAGGAGGGTCACAAAGATGATCCGAGGGCTGGAGCACCTCTGCTATGAAGACAGGCTGAGAGAGTTGGAATTATTCAGCCTGGAGAAGAGAAGGCTTCGGGGAGACCTTCTAGCAGCCTTCCAGTACTCAAAGGGTACCTACAGGAAAGCTGTTTTTGCAAGGGCATGTAGTGATGGGACAAGGGGCAATGGCTTTAAACTGAAAGAGGGGAGATTTAGATTAGATATAAGGAAATAATTCTTCACTGTGAGGGTGGTGAGGCTCTGGAACAGGTTGCCCAGAGAAGTTGTGGCTGGCCCCTCCCTGGAAGAGTTCCAGGCCAGGGTGGATGAGGCTTTTGGGGTAGTGGAAGGAGTCCCTGCCCATGGCAGGGGGGTTGGAACTAGATGATCTTAAAGGTCCCTTCCAACCCAAACCATTCTATGATACTGTGAAACAACTGAATGACACCATAGGCCAAGATTGCAGCCTCAAAGAAATAAACTACTATTCTTAGTCAAAGTAATGTATGTTTCTATGCTAAACAGTATTTCTAGTCGTCACAACCAAGATCCGTGTGTGTGTATGTACATTGATTTATATAGAGCTAAATCCTTACATATTTTCTCATCTCAGCCCACCAGGCAGGATCAGGCTGACTGATCAAACAAGCACTTGGCAGAATTCACCTCAGTTTTTCACCCTATGGCTGAAAGTAGCTATGACAGCTTCTTGAGATTCACTGACATGGATCTAGGCAGCTAGATCCTTCAGCCTGTCCATACAAGGTTCACTGCTGTTATGCAGAAGGCGTTGACCAGGAGAGGATTCTCCCATCAAAGCGTGATCCAAGGTTGCTGCAATTGGTCTCTCCAGTAAACCCAATGTTAAGTCTTGCTGCTGACTCCCAACTCACACCTCTTACATTCTTATACCTCTTACATTCTGGATAAATTTTGTGGGATGTAGGGAAGTCACAACACAAATCCAAAAGCATTTCAGTTGTGTAAAGGATGAAGTTTCACCTCTTGCAGCCTCTCTTCTGCAGGCAAACAATACTAAATACTTTCCACAATAAATAAATAAAACAAATTTCAAGCAAACAAATACACAGTCAGCATGTTGACAGCTAGTAGGATTATCCTTCCTCTAATTCAGGCAATTCCACAGAAAGGTATTTCTTTCTGCCAAGTACCTAGTTAAAAAAATATGTTACCAACAACTAACTGCCCTCAAATACCCATGGGGGAAGAAAAGTGACCTGTTTCCTGAAATGAGGTGTCCCCCCAGTATCCCCCCCAGCCTTCACCACAGCACATCCAAAGAGCAGAGTTGGAATGATGAATACCAGGAAGCTGAGCTCTGAAGCAGAAATATGTCATTCATGGAGATATATCTTACCAGTCATGTGACACAGATATTATAATCCATCAGAATTCCCACTTCTGGGTTTAGAAGGTTTCTATCAAACCACTACCTGTAAAATCTCCATCACTTTTAAGGACATTATTAGAGAAAAAAAACAAATCTCCATTAACTTGTCTATTTCTTCAATATAGAAAGTTTACAAAGTTCAGGAGAGTCAGAAGCCAAGCCAGTTGTCACACATAATAACCCAGCAGTAACTCAATGAGATAATATCTGAGAAATGTAAGAGTCACCCTTTATATTCTGCATCCCAAAGGGATGGAAAATGGTTCACATCGCATGCTCAGAACTCTTAAAACTAATTTTTATGTGTTTTCAGATGCCTCCAAGTGCTTTCAAAGTGTAAATGTCATGCAGTGTGCATGGAAGAGACCTAAATACGTATTTCACAAAGATTTAAATGCAAATCATGCTGCTTTATGAGGATTCAAGTTTCCTACTTTCATAGAAGAACCGGTACTTTCTACTCAACGACCTAGATATTGAAAATGCCATGAAGGTCATCTTGTCTTACTTGTTTTCGTTGCTGGCATCATATCGAGGCATAGGGTCAAAATCATTTCCATTGACATCAAAACTGGCCTGCGAATCCTGTAGCCAACAAGAGAAAGAAAATCAGTTTCTCATTAATTAGCCATTGACTCATGTGGCTTATACATGCTTCAGCAGGTTCCTACAAGACAGTAATCAGGTTAACTAACATTCCTGTGGTTTTATGATGATTGCATGTTTTAGAAAAGGATTATATATTTAATAATTACAGGATTTACATATTTTATTTTATTTTTGGAAAAGGGAGAAGGATAACAAAGTCTCTGAAAAAGCATAGTTCCAGTGTCAGAGAAGAAATAGAAAGTGGTGTTTCATTAAACCAGAAGACTACATTTCTTCTAAGAAACTTTTGGAAGGTAAGACAGTCCATTCTCAAAATTGGGATTTTGCTAAATATTTCAAGATTCAAGAAATTATCTGCACAATGATGACTGAAATTTCAGTCATAGTTTCAAGCAATAAGAATAATATATATTTTTTAAGAACATTGTTACAAAAATACAGTTTGAAATGCAACATAAACTGCATTCCTATTTCCCTGGAAGTGTAACTGTTTCAGATATTTGCAAGATATCGCTGTGTTTTTGTTCCATATTTTAAATTTACCAGGATTCTTAACAGCTGAAAATAGTTTATAGAGTAAATAGAGGCTGGTTTGTATGGCTCCCATTAATCGATGTGGTAGCATGTGGTGTGTCGACATGGCAAGCAGCTCTTTTTAATCTCTTCTTTGTTCAAAACCAGTTACCACATCCACCTCAAATATTCCTGTTTGTAGCCACACCAGCAATAATCTGACATATAGAAGGCATCTGTCATCAAACAAGCAATGTGTACTGCTTTGGGGGAATTCCTTGTTGGCATGAGTAAAGGGAGAGAGAAGGTGGTAAGGGAATAAATAGCTGCCTTAAATTCCGTGGAAGGACAGTGCTGGGATGAGGTGGCATATGGTACAATCCGGGTCATTCATTGAGGAGGTAAAATTATATTTGGTTTGTTTAAATAACTTAGGATATTAAAATGAAAGATGTGGCATGCATTAGGATCAAGCATACATTGACAAATAGGGCAATTGCCTGTCACTTGTGTTTGTGCAGTCCTCCTCATTTATTTCAAAGCTGAGTTCCATGAGCAGCATGGGGAAGAATATAGATGTAAGTATGGCTAATTTAAAATAAACGGCTTTAAACTGTGGACATGATTGTAGCTTTTGATGGGTTGTTAAAGATGTTTTTGTCACCTTCACCTCTTTGATGCTCTGTCAAGATGATACACGCTCTGGCAAAAAGCCTGTGTTTATACAGGGCTTTTTTACAAGATCTATGTCTGTAATGGTACTGAAGGTACATGCATGCCTTGTGCTGGTCATCTTCACTAGTCTGGCTCAATCAAAATGTATTTGTTTGTTTTCTTACTGCACGTCATGCACACCTTGCACGCCTCAGTTCAGAGAAATTATAAGGTCCTCAAGGTCATGTGCTTTCAGGTAATGCCTACTCCCAAAGCACAGGACTAACAACTCCAGTAAAGCATGGCCTTGATGCTCTGGACAGCTTCAAACTCTGACACTAACACAAGAAGTCACCCACTAGAGAAGCAGCTTCTCCTCACATTATACAATCCTTCAGAGGTATATTAAAACAATCATTTAAATACAATGAACCACAAGCAAACATAAACCTCCTGAGGTGACATGAAACATAGGACGCAGAAAACAAAGCTCTACTACAAATTGTGAGGGGACTCACTGGAGTTAAGAGAGGTTTACGAGAAAAGACCCCAAAATATTCTACACCCATTTTTAACTAAGTGAATCATAACAAGTCAAGTCCTTTTCCTTTAATATTATTTCTAGCAGTAAGATAAATAGCTTTAAAAATAAATACATGGACAGATATGCCTAAAATGACATTCTTTGAGAAAAGTTAGTCTTGCTAGCTAAAGGTATCAGCCAAAAATGGACTTCAGCTGCATACATTAACTGAAAAGCAGTGTATTCCGTTTCTAAGTTCTGAGACTGTGAGGATATTAAGAAAAGAGAAAAACATCTAATGATTAGTTCCAGTCCGTCAGAAATTCAGGACTCATCTACAAGAGGCATCCAGATACTAAATACATTCAGATTGAACATAGTCTTAACTAAAACAATACAGATTACCAAAAGCTGTCCTCTTTTCTCCCACTGCTGTTAACATTTGAGGAATCTCTTGTATGACTCTTCCTCCTTCTTCCCTCCCTCCATCTTTCCAAGAGCAGCAAATTTATTCAGGATAATAATAAAGCAGCAAATCTGGACTCCTGTGGACACTCACATAATTCTGCATCAAGTCTGGATGGTTTCTTTCGATGCCGTCATCCAGGATGGTGACCACAACGTTCTTTCCAGTGTAACCTCTCTTCCAAGCACCTACTATATTCATATCTGATTGGCAATGGTGGGTGTTATCACTGCAGTGCTGAGGAGAGAAGAGGAGATAAAGGTGTTGGATGTTGCAGATTAGTGAGCAGTGTGGGGTCGAAACATTATCCTACTTACATTCATATTACCATTTAAATCAGCGCATGAGCATATTGATTTGAATAGTAATTATACAAGATCAACACCTTCGTTTAGACAGAAAATAATATAACAAGAAACGCTAAATTAAATGAAAATTGCTAGATCTGCTTATTTCTCTTCCAGATTACTCTTCGTGCTAAGCAATAGAAAAGGGAAGTGTCCAGCCATACTGAACCAGTAGAAGCCATGTGTAAAACAAAGCAACTATTCCTGGCTGTTAAACATGCTCATTTGAAATGTACGTTTGAATTATTTGATTTTTTTTGATTGATTTTTTTTTTTCAACAAACAAACCATGTGTGGATAAAACTAGACAAATGCCTGTACAGAAATGGTCATGGAAACAAAACTTGCTTGATGAAGCTTATGTGCTGTATAATTTCTTGACAGAATGTCTGGAAACTAATCCAGATTCATTTCTATCTACAAAAGACGGCTTTTGGCAGGTTTTGTGCAATATCAGCAGGAGATGAGCCACAGTTAAGAACCTGTAACCAAAACAACACCCTGAAAAACTTACAGCTTAAGGTGTCTGATGAATTGCAGATAGATTGAGAACAGCCTGGGGTACAAGTGGAGCAACCAAGTCCAGTGTGGTGGAGAAAGAAAGTTTAAGGTACATTAAAACTGAAAGCCTCCTCCTTGATATGAATGCACCCAGCTCATGTGAAGAAATCTGGCTTGCCATGGCAATGAGACATGACCCTCAGGTATTTGTATGCCCCATTAGTGACTCTCTAACGCACACACAGAGCCCTCCCCTGTGAAGTGAGTTCAATGAGCGTCTCGTTGGCACTGCTTTCCTCCAGCTCCCTCAGATAGGATAACAGGCAAAAAGATAAAAGAGGGAGTGCAGGGAAGGGGAAAAGCAAAGAGTGGGAGGAAGGAAAAAGAAATTAAAAAAGAAACTTGCATCCTAGTAACGGTGGCCACACCAGCATGCTCCACCTCAATCCCTGCCCACTGCCCCGTGTCCCCACTTTGGCCTCATGTTTTGGCACTCTGCAATTTGTACAGAGTATAAATACATTCATGGGGATGCACTCTGCCTCGACTTAGTCCATCCCTCTCCTCCCAAATGTAAGCACACTGAAGAACTGTTAGCCATACTGGTTGCAAACTGACATCAGATTACTATTAAATCGTAATTTTCCTTCTCCTTTTTCTGCAGTTTACCACCCTGTACTGTCATACACAAACCAGAGGATTTAAGAGTGGTCATTTGCTGTTACTTAATCAAGATTATAGTATTAGGCACTATATAGATGTACACAGTATAAAGTTTCTCTCATGGTCTTTCTCTTGTGTCTGCAAGTTATCTGTCTCTCTCTCCTTGACTTCAGGGACCTGTTCCAAGGAACGTATAGGGCAGGCTTAATGTTTTTGTTCTGTGTATTGCATGGAGATGCTCACGCTGCTGGCTTTATGAAATCAATTATAGTCTAAACTTGCCATCTGTACACTGAATATAATGGTTTTACACATGAGGCTTTCTAATGTACCAACAAGGGGGTTAAAAGCCTGTAAGGTTTCCAGGTTCCTTTGCATTTTTTTCAGAAGCGTTACTGAACTAAGCATCAGAAAATATCTGCAAAAGCTATGAATATCACCATTCACATTTTACTGATGTGAGACAAGGAGACAAAAAGGTGGAAGCACCAGCCTCCAGCCACAGAGCAAACCCAAGAGAGGGCTGCAATGGGCAATCAGGATTCTTGGCTCTGACCCCCAGTCAGATTTACTGGGTCATTACACTGCCCCTTCATTCCCTTCTCTGAAACGCCAAATCACCCTTTGGCTGCTTCGCTGACCGTCTTTGTGCTCTCTTCCTAGGGGATGAACTTGTTTTGCTTCCTTGCCAGTCAAACCACTCAGGCTGAGCAAGCATATGGGTTTTTAATCCTCATTCCCCTGCAAGCTCTTTGGCTCTCTGCCAGAAGATCACTGCTTTTTCCCTTAATGATGTTGGCACAGTCGGTTGCCCTCACTTAACCTTACCTGAACTTCTGCTTTTGTGGTGGTGGCTGAAGGGCGCTAATTCATCTGCTGCTTTGCCACATGCATGTAGACAAACATGCGACCAGAGACATCTCTTGCTTTACCATGTGCTCTGATTCTCTCAAGAGATGTGTCAGATCACATTGACATTCAAATTATCTTGCTCTGCTCCAAGACTGGGCAGAAAGCTAGTCTAAACAATCTTCCTGCATAAAAGAAATTCCAGGGGTAAAGCAGGCATAACTGCGTGCCCACTTACAACTTTGGATCACATCATATGTAACACATGGATATAAAATGCACAGCCAGCAAAGAAGCACTCAAGGAGGAGTTGCTCAACAACAGAAGAAGGGTTCAGTTCATATGACTACAATATGTAATCTATTCTCAAGTCCTATTAAAAACAGCATCTTTGTTTTCTTTTCACCTCTATTCCCTACTTTTCTTCCTCCTCCTCTCAATTATTTTTCTATCTACACTCTTCCCTCCCTACATCCAGGCTTGTTCTTCTCTTCCAATACTTTTATCACTTCAATTTCTGTTTGGTTCGGTTCAACATCCAATCTCAGACTCCTGTATTTTAACTACAAACTATACCTTCCCCCTGCTTAGTGTATGATTTTATCTAGATTAATCAGATTGTGTACATGTCTCTCAAAGCAGTCAGATTTGGCTTTTTTCAGGAGTGCTTTAAATCTTAGAGTGCAATTACTCCTCAAATATTATATAACACGGTACAAGTATGTTGTTCCATACTGAGCAGCCACCTATTACTTGGTGTCACTTGCACTCTTTTCTGTACCTTTAAATTCCTCTTTCCTTCGAAACCATTTATTGTAGGAAATTTTCCACTACTGGGTTCCATTCTATAATTTTTCTTTAACCATGTTCTGCTTCTTTACCACCTATCCAAACTACATTGTCAGCTGCTTATCAGAGGGCTGTTTTTTAATGATTTTGGAAGCACCGTTTCAAATTACCAAAATAAAAAATAATAAAACATCTGTCATGATAACAAAAACGTGACCCAGATCCAGAGTGATTGAATTTTATATCAATGGGCAAGTACTGAATTTTGTAACTCATTTTCAATTTATTTTCCTGTTCTCTTTTTAGAATAAAACCAGGCTTTGACATGATAACGTACAAAAGCTGTGTGCTTGCAAGTTTTTATCAGATCTGTTAATTTTTGAACTGTTGTTTTTTTGAATATTAAAATTGGTTAGTCTACAGAATTTCCCCCCTCTCCAAGCAGATGCAGTAGTTCAGAAATTTCCTGCATTGGTACCTTGACCAGAAAACTGCAGTAATCCAGCACTATTTCAAAACGTATTGTCTTCATCTATCCCCTGGAGGATACCATCAAAACGAATAAACAAACTCTTGCTGGTTACATAGGGTAATTTTATTGAGATTTTTCAAGGGCATTCAAAGGATGGTGTTTTTCCTTGGACTGTTTAATGGGAAAATGTTAATGATATCACCGTTAGTATTTAATGGAAACCATCTGCAAGGTTGAGAGACTCTTGAAGTATATATAGGAAGGAAGAGGGCTACAGGAGGAAAAATTTCAGATACTGAAATTTTCTCATACTTGAGATTGAACGCTTATGACCATAAAAAGGCAAAAGAATCACTTAGACATCATTGGACAGACAATTAGGAAGCCTGTCTTTGTGCAACTAACAAGTAGACATAATATTAGAAAGGTTTTCTGTTCTGATGTTTGCATGATGCTTTCAGTATCAGACATGGGCCTGGATTCTCTTAGCTATTTTGTGAAATTCTTCCTAACAACTAGCTTATGGTCATTATCATTATCTTACTGTTTCTCGTCTGCTGCACTAATTTTTATGGTTGGAGGCTAGGCGTATCCAGTTATGAACAATAACAAAACTGAACAGTTAAACTGGGAAATCAAGAATCATATCAATGGTCAAAATCTTTTGGAATTCCAGAGCTTAAAATAAAATTAAACTAACAATGACTATAAATTCTGTTCTGTTTTTTGCAGTGCCTATTAGTCTACAAAAACAGAGTAGAAACAGATATGTCTCTCAGCCTTTCAGAAATGGCATATTGTGTCCCCTGTAATGCTTCATGAGGTACCTTTCATTGGTTTCTTGTAGTTTTTGAGTTACAAGGAGTTCTTTGACAATATCTTGTCAATATCTAAGGGGATATAGAAAAACACAAGATGATAATCAGAATGACACAGTTTTAAAGACCAATTGTGAGTTGGCAGGTCTTAGATCTCATTTAGTGGAACATTAAGTATGCTTCTGATCCCAGAAAAGCTCTAAAATACTAGTTTGAAGGAAGAGGAGGAGAAGGAGGAGGAGGAGGAGGAGAAGGAGGAGGAGGAGAAGGAGAAGGAGAAGGAGAAGGAGAAGGAGAAGGAGAAGGAGAAGGAGAAGGAGAAGGAGAAGGAGAAGAGAAGGAGAAGGAGAAGGAGAAGGAGAAGGAGAAGGAGAAGGAGAAGGAGAAGGAGAAGGAGAAGGAGAAGGAGAAGGAGAAGGAGAAGGAGAAGGAGAAGGAGGAGAAGTAGGAGGAGAAGGAGAAGGAGAAGGAGAAGGAGAAGGAGAAGGAGAAGGAGAAGGAGAAGGAGAAGGAGAAGGAGAAGGAGAGGGAGGAGAAGACTATTCCTGGTTTCGTTAGAGTAGTAATTAAATGGTCTTGGCACAGACACAAACGAGCAGACTACAGTTGCATTCTCTACATCAGTGGGTTTTGTCAGCTACTAACTGTGAGCATGGAGAGCACAGGAGAAGTTGCACAAGATCGCACACAGAGCAAGAAGGCCAGTCAAGGGCCTACGCATTGAGCTTGATTAACACAAGCAGAAAGGAGGGGGACACACAGGGGCAAGGAATGGATCCTGGCATTTTGTGGAGCTAT